TTTCCCCAAACGCTAGAAAAAATAGGTTCATCAGTTAGAGGAATCATTAAAAGTGAAAAGGTAGCTTCACATATTCCTACCATTGTCTCATGTATGATGCCACTAAGAAAACAAAGAATTCTGAATTACTTTTAAAAATGTTGCTTTTGAAGATTTCTAAAGATCCTTTCCACCCACATTGCCTTCTTCAAGAAGATTCCCCATGTCATGGTAACCCCACTCACATGCTATTAATGACTTATGTAATATAGGTGAAATATTTTCAAGTCAAGCTTGACTCTTGGTGGCTTCATGGACTCAACAATGTAAGTTCTTTTTGGGAACAGATGGAAAATGAGTCTTCTAGGAGGATTTTTAAAAATGTTTTATTCCCTCAAGTAACTCCCTCAAATACTCCCTGGTATTTTGAGTCTCCAATCCATGTTTTTACTAGTACTAATCTTGTTTAATTTCTCAGCCCAAGTTAGCTCAATGTCACTTGAAGATTTTATTTTTTTTGTGAATTAACAGTTTTAGGTGATATTGATAATTCATTAAGAAATCACTTGGATGTTAAAGTGAAGATATTAAGATGTTTTTGTAACAAGTTTATAGTTTTTTAATGCTAGAAGAAATGAGTTCGCTAATAACTGGAACATAGATGACAGAATAAAAACTTAAACCCTTCTGACACAGCATATATAATGGAAATAATTGGAAATCATAAAAAGAAATACAATTTGCAGTCATTTGAAGGATATGCTTTATTCCTCTCCTTTAAAAAAAAGAAGTATGGCCAGTTAAAACACACAGTAATGTCTAAATCGTGAATCATTTTTATGGGTTTCAAAGAATCTTTTTTCAAGGGTAAAATCTTTTTTAATTAAACAAGACATTATGTCTTTGATTTTAAAAACAAACAAATATACACACAGGAAAACTCAACATCGAAAAACATAAATATAAAAATTAAAGTTCATATTAGCACCACCTTTGGTCCAAGCAATAAGTAAACTGGGAGATTACTGTGAGGTATAGTTAGTTATCAAGTTCTGTCTTGTGAGACATTTAATATTGTATTGTGGTTTTACATTGCAAGAACCTTGGAATAAAACAAGAGAGGCTGCAGACTAGATTCTCTTGGAAGTGCCTTTAAATGATTTCTTGTATGAATGTATGATCTCAGGGTTGGATAATAAAAGATGCTGGCTGCAGTTCAGTTTATCTTTAGCTGCATATGACCTGAGAGTTGTGCCTTCGTATTCACTAGTTAAGATATAACAAGGGATTTTGGAAGCACATCTCTTAATTTACCTATTCATCAAGTACCTCTAAGGGCTTTCATGGATTTTTGTCCAGTTGGCACCTCACTTTGTTTTTTAAATCGTTGTATGTATGTAGTGTTTTTATTGTATGGAAACTTGCATAATACAGTCTTTATTCAGTTCAGATGCCCTGATGGACACAAGACTACATTTCATGCTTTGCAACATCATTTGCACAATTACTCCACCATGCCATTCCTGCAAATTCCAATGGAGCATTCTGAAAAGATGAATCATAAACCATTAAAAATATAAAGTTGGGGCAAACATGTCCCCAAACACCTAGTTTTCAATGACTGAAACTGACAAATTAACTCAATTGCTAAGCAATACTATTGCCAGGTGTCTACCAGTAAAAAAAAATTGTACATATTTCAATAATAATCAAGTATGTGGATGCCAATGAATATTGCAGCACAAAACTAAAAAGATGCAACATTTTTGGTTGAAACTGTACACTTATCTAAATTTCATCTTTGGAAATTAAAGACTGACACTGTTCTTAGAAAGGAGCATTTGACCTTTAGGTATGATTAATTTATATTCAAACTGACTAATTCAATTTAGACTTGCACTTTTAATTCCAATTAGCAGTCTAAATATAGACAATATCCTTTGCTGCCAGTTTGTTTTACATAGGTTAGTGTAATAAATTTATGGCTGACCAATGTCTTTGTACATAATTAATGACTAGTTTGCACTCATGTAAATTGTTTCCCCAAATGGCTCTTACCAATGTGACCAACAATTTTGCAGAAAAAAGAATATGTAAGGATCTAACATTCTTTAACTTAATTATTTTCTTCCACTTTTGAAAACAGTGAATATCTTTGAGCTCTTTTTTTCTTGTTCCCAAAGTGCACTCCAAATAAGATTCCTTTCTGGATCCTTCCTTAATGCAAACAACTCAAAACACCTCAGTCTTCTCTATAAATCAATATCTATTCTAACTTGACCTTTCTCAGGAAACTAACCAAACAACATTAAGCACATCCTCCACCATCCATTTTGATCACACAGCTCAAGGACCAGCCATACATCTTTCATCATCTCCTTGTCAACATACTCTTCTCAGACTTCTAATAATTACGTTCTCTTTATTCTAGATAACAACAATCACAATAAGCCCATTAGAAAGACAGCACTGGTTTCTATTCTTTCATTGGACGTTCTGTAGTGACCCATGACAGAAAATTCCAATGACTTACTTCATGCTAAAAAAAACAACAGCTTCAGTTCATGTTAGTATTTGTTTTATATTAAAGAGAATAAAATTTGTTTTCGTCAAACTTTTAGGTCCTTACATATCTTACTATTCTCTTAATTTTAGAACTTTTAAAATAAGTAAGATGGTCACTTTTTTGTACATTTTGGTTTTATACAATCTAATATATAACTGCAGTTTTGCAAAGCAAGTTTTAAAATGTGAGGGTAACAGCTGGTTTTATCTTTCATTTCTAATTATTCATTTATTTTGAACAATGCATTGTCCCTTAGTATAAACACTAAGGTTATACGGTCATGCCATTTTCAAATCATTTCATTTTTTCCTCCAAATGTAAAAGACATTACTTCTTCCAATTATAGGCATTCATTAACTAACTTATCATGCACAATATAGAAATATCACATTTGACAATAATTAGCCCTCAACTTGCAACCATTCATTTACTGACAAAAATTACAATGGCACTGACAAGTGACATGAACTTTTTCACTTATGACAGTTGCAGCATCTCTGTAGTCATGTGATTAAAATTCAGATGATTGGCAGCTGACAGTCATACCTGCATGCCAAGGTCATGTGATCACTTTTTGACAAGCAAAGCCAGATTTACTTAATTACCATTACTAACTTAACAACTGCAGTGTTTCAGTTAACAACTGCCGCAAGAAAGGTTGTAAAGTGGGTTAAAACTCACTTAACAAATGTCTCATTTAACAATGGAAATTTTGGATGCAATTGTGGTCATAAGTTAAGGAGTACCTGTATGGGGAAAACATAACAGAGCCTAACATAAAGAAGCATCACACAAATACACATAAAAGGAACTCATAAAATCAAACACTTGGAGGGGGAGATAATGATGTACATATGCATATTAACTCATTTTTGAAACTTTTTTTTATTTAATCCAATCAGCCTTTCCTAAATCACAATCCAGTTATTTCTGACCATTAAAGAATACTACATCTATCCTCCAATTTGGTGTCATAATAAACAGGTGTCTCAACACAGGGCAGTAGTAGCTGTTGTATTGGATGTGGAACATGTACAAAAACACCCTTAACAGTGTGAAACTTTCTGTTCATTTTTTCCTGAAAAAGTGCACTCTACAACGAATTTAAACACTTCATGGGCCAGCCCATCTGGAAAATTTAAAGGCCAGATGTATTTGCCTCTGTACCTGCTAGGCCTAAATGATTTTATCACCCTGAAAAGAGGGCTTTGAGTCAAATCAGATTGGGCTGTCTGTCTCCAAAGCGAGGCTCTGAATTCAGCGAAACTGTTCTACCGCCACTTTACTTAACACAATTTATACAAGCCCCTCGCAAAAACTGAGGGTTCTCCAATTTGGTGTTCTAAAAACCAAGTGGAGACTTAAGAATATCAATTCAAGGAACTGGAGTAATTCATGGACTTCCAAGGATGCTTGAAAAAGGTCACGATTCCCAAGTCCTTGATTTAGAATTTACAATTAACTAGATGAACTGAGATAACAGCAGTAATCATACAAGTCTAGAAGGTAATTTTGGAATCTGACAAGCTTTTCATGTACTTCCAATTAATCTGTACACATTTACTAAAAACGTAGGCTACTTCCCCACAATCCTCCTGAAAAAATATTTACAAAGAAATTTATGCTCCACCAATTTGTACCTGTTAAATGCCTAAGATTATGTAAAGTACCCCCGATTTAGCCATAAAATATATGGCTGGCTTTTCTGAGATCTGATTTTGACTATTTAGCAGCAAACTATGGTTGATATTAAAGGTATTGTTAAAGTCACAAATTTTCTTTGCATGTGCAGAGTCTGAATCGGATGAGACTAAAAAATACTACTGTTAACTAGAATATTCTAAAAGCAAACCTAACGAGTCCGTTGCACTCAAGTAATCAATGAGAATATAAAAACAAAAAGTGATTTTAGCAAGACACTGATAGCCTGAAGAAAGGCATCCTTGTATCACTTCCTTAATTTAGAAATGCAATTCTAGAGAGGTTCTTTTGTTAATCTATGTATTCCTGTGTTAAAATAAGGTGTCCAGTAGATATGAAGTGGCTAAGTTGTAAGACTATTTTCTGCTTATTCATATTCCATTAAAAAGCTTATGTTGTTTATGGAAATCTATTTTAAAAAAGCATGTTTTATTAAAAAATTGAATAAAATTATTTATACATAAAAGAATGATTTCAAAATAGGAAAATAACATTCTTTGGGGGAAAATTCAGTGATGTGAAATTCAGACCTGAGTTTGATTTTCTAATTTCACATAGTATAGACATGTCCCAGTTTCGGAAAACTCTTGCTTCTGGAAAGGTTGATTTATAATTCAGGCTCTGTATGCATATTTGACATTTCACTCAGTTCAGTGTGCTGAATTAGATAAATGGATATGATAATTTCCATCAAGTGTTAATGTCAAACATCTGAACATAAGCATTTTATTTTCAATTACAATAAAGCCAGAAATACTTTCATCCAGCCACTTTATTTATATGCTGCCTTAGTGATGATGGGTTAATAAAGTTCCGCATCTTTTCTTCTTTAAGAAAAGAGAGATCAAACTGCAACTTCATAGAAGTTTCTGGTTTTAAACAGTCTAATTATGGAATAGACTATTAAGATACCATGCAATACAGACATACTCTAATTCAAGTATTTACTTCTTGTGTTTCATGCACACTTAAACAGCAAGTACCCTTTGTCAACATGCCTTCAATGTGGCAACTTCTGTCCAGGATCTCTTTCATGCTTCTATAGCATGATAAACAGCACCTACATATCAATTCAGGAGTAAAGTCCTCTGACATCAGTGTAAATCAGATAAGAATTTGGAACTTCTGCTTAAGTTAAAGAGTGCATACGGCTACAAAAAAGATGGAAGAATAGTAAACATTGCAAAAAAAGAAAACAGTACAGTTGAAGAGCTAGGAACCATCAAGTTGTCATACTTGAATGTGATAAACTTCTACTCCCAATATCAAAGTTACACAGCCAATTTTTTTCCAAAAGTTTTCTTCATCCACTTCCTGCTTACTTCTGCGGTTGTTCAACTTTCCTCAATCCTCATGTTTTTTTGTTTACTTAAGAGTGCATAATAAAAAATGACAGATGTTTAAAATCACACTGTTCATCCACTTCAAGTCCTGGATGAGGGACCTGTTTTTGCCCTTTCAATATTGCACTGATCCTCTATTTGGACACTATACTGAGAATGCAAATATTGGATAAAATGTAACAATAATTAAAAAATATATAATGGACAAATTACTCAAGATGATATAAACTTAAATATTACTATTGCTATAGTAATGCTAGTAAATGCTAATAATGAAATAATTATTTACCAGTTTCCCTTCCATTTTTCATAAATCACAAAAAGCAGTAACAATTTTTTTTATAAATGGAGAGAAGCAATAAGTATAACTTTAAATTAAAATAAGCTATTCTAATATTCAAAAGTAGTTCTAAAAAGCACAATTCTATAATGCCATCGTCAAAATGTTCAGTGTTGCTTCTGAAAGGAAGACTTTGGAACCAGTTCATTGGAACAAATGCAGTTGCTACCGTAGGATAAATGCATGTGCAGTAGTTGTTTGTTTCAGCTTCTATCAATGGAACACAAATCTGTTAAACAATTAAAGAGTCTATTTTTTTTCATAAAGGTAGATTTCATTAGAGCACTATTGTCCAAATGTGGCAACTTTAAGAAGTGTGAATTTCAACTCTCAGAATTCCCTAGTCAGTGCTGGCTAGGGAATTCTGGGAGTTAAAAACCACACACATCTTAAAGTTGTCAATTTTTTAAAAACACTGCTCTAGAAAGTCAAAGAATTATGAAACTAATTCCATGAACCCAAGGAATACTTAGACTGTTTTTTCTCAGTCTATATTTCTGTTCCCCTCCTTAATGAATGGATTCAGGAAAATAGAACAATTTCAAATTTGTAAAAAAAAACACCTGTGGTGGTAAGCCAAGCTTACTACGACATCTTGTGAGGGAACTCATTACTTAAACGTAACTCACCAAAATGTAGAAATTAAGAAAAAAAAGCAAGAGTATTTTTTTCAGGCATTATATAAATCCGCAATAACGAATTCAGAAGTGCTCATTATTATTAAAGTTGCAGTATACAGCAGAAAAAAAGTTTTCATTGTTTGGGTTTTGTCAAAATATCAATCTGCATTTTGAGTTGTTCTTGTTGAAAACCAAGGCAATTTAAAGAACCAGGAAATGACCAGAACGCACTCTTCTCTAAGAGTGCAATCTTTGGCTTAATATTCAATTAGTCCCCAGAATATTGAAAAATTGAGATCTAGATTATTTTGAAAGTACTATATAGTTTTTTTTTTAAAAAATTATCAGGCTTATGATCAAAATAATTTTGGAATTAGCAGATAATATTTTGACAGGGAAAGCTACAGCCCTTGTGAATGGGATTTCAATGTATTTCTTTGTGCATTAGCCTGGCACTGAAATTTGAATTTTCCAATCCTTAAACACCTCCCTAATAGTTACAAGGGCAAGTTATAGATTACATGTGGGAAACAGTGAAACTGACTAAATTAAGAAGGTGCTTGATAGTGCTCTTTGCTTATCCTTCTCCCTGTATTTGAACCTAGATATTACTTCCATATGCTATAAAACCAGCTACAATGTCCCCTACATAAAGGTTCTAGAGATGTGACACATACTTACATAAAGATTTAAAATAAAAAAAAATGAAAAACTAGTTTAACCCAAAAAACTACCTATCCAACTATATTTATGTAATTTTTTAGATTATTGGGGCAGTTTTATAGGACAAATCAAGGCTCACTTTTATAATGTGTAAAATGCAAATTGATAAGCAAATTGATTTATTGGCTGATAACTGTTCTAATTATAAAGAGGCACTTTAAGAAACCAGTCCTTACATGTGCCAATTCAATATTACTATTGCATAAAAAATGTAGCTTTGAAAGAGAATATGGAAAGCTATTCTCCTTACTGAAAGTATGGGCAAATCATATTTATGTAACTTTTTTTTTCTTAAGAATTTGCAGAAGCATTCTAGACTTAAAATGAACTCAGTGACTTTCTTACCCCGAAAACCTGCAGCTGCAACAGAATTAGCTGAAGGCTGGGTAGCACTAAAGAGATATACTACTAATCCCAAATGTGGCTGGAAATGATTAACCCTTTTAGAGAATCTGTAAAAGATATTTTCAAAATCTCTTGACCCTTTTTGGTTCAATTCTGTACACATAATTCCCCAGTGCTGAGATGATAAAGAATACTACAAACCAATTTGCTTCTGTACAGCAAGAAATACCGATCCCTTCTTGGCCAAAAATTTGACTCTGGCTACCTGTATCTCCTGTATTTGAAGAGTCTTGATGGCTCAGTGCAGGATTTTTGGGAGCTGCACTTTTAGCTTTCCCAAGAGATGATGGCATCTTTGGAACAAAACTGTATAGTACAAATTTTAAATAATCATAAATTATTTTAATAAATAGATGTTCTTAAAATGACAATTTATACTGCATCTTTAAATAATGCACTTGATTTTCCTGCATTTTGGTTTAAAATGGTTAAAGTGCACTAATTCAAAAATAATGAACCACTTCATCATCATTATTGTTATTTTTAATCATAAACATTAATATGTGTTGCTAAATCACTAATATTAGTACTGCAATCTAGCAGATAACTTGATGATTTTGCTCTACTTAATACTGTCCAGCAGAAGAAAATAATACTATTTTAAACTCAAGCAACTTTGGGCAGTCTCTTAAATTGCTGCTCACTTTTTAACAAAATATAAATATGAGGAAACATTTGAGATGTAAAGTCTTATGGAAAGGAGCTTTGGGCAAAACCACACCATTTTCAAATGCACTGTGGTGTATGTCTTCTCCTAATGAATTTATTATTACTGATGTTATAGAGGCCTGTTGTGTTTCCTCTTCATCACCAGGCCTCTTCTTCCATGCTATTTCACTGTATAAGCATGGAGAGTAGCAGTGATGATGCACTGTAATAGATCAGCTTGAAAAGCATCAATCACACAAGCATGGAAATCAATCCCTCAAGTTATTTTTATAATGTAATATACGTAACACAAAAAACGAGGCAAGAATCAAGTGATAATTATGTAATTTTCAGAAAGCTAAAACATCTCAAAATATGCTTAATTTTTAATTGTTCAGAAAAAGAGTTGGACCTTATTAAAAATCTTCCGATTCTTTCATCTTCTAGTGGTAGAATGTAAGACTGTGGCTGGAGATAACCAGATTTTCTCCCTAAAACCCCCAACTCTTTTTCTTCATTTTCCATATAAAATATTGGGCTTCAAAGTGGCGATAAATGTGTTGTCTGATTTCCATATTGTTTAAATAAAGGCCTTCTGGTATTGTTGTTGCTGTTGTTTACCAATTACAAAGTTCACTGCAAGGCTAGTAAATGAAAATGCATTAAAATATAAACACACTTTGTACCCAAAGCCTTTGCACAAACCCCAGTGGTTTTAATCTTCATGCTTTTCCACAAAATCTCATTTTTTTAAAAAAGCATCTGAAATCATAAATAAAAAGGCAAAAGAGGATACGTGACTACAGAATTCCTGCTTTGTAACATTCCCAGTCTAATGGTGCTCTGTTCAATCACCCTTTGACAACAGCTATCAGTACAAAACTAACATCCAAGTGAGAAGAACAAAATAATTTGTACTGCTTGTACTTTAAAAAAAAGTTGTTCAGAAGATTGGTGTTGACTAATAAAGATCTCTCCCTTCCTGCTCATGTATAAACTAAAACAAAGAATGAAGTTGGTAACATCCATGGCGTTTGCTCATTCCCATTCTGATTTTGAAAACATAAGGCGCTTCTCTGCCAGGTAAGAATCGGCATTGATTGGATATGAAACGAAGAGAAACTTGATGAATCGTCAACATTCAGATGTGCACACATAGCACCTATTTTGACACTCTTCTTTTTATTGCAACATGAAGCTAATTCTGGATGGCCCATGTTCTTCTCAGTGAAGTACTCAAGGAAGAAAATAAATAATTTCCCATAAACAAACATCGTGCTGGATTGGGCAACTGCCTCCTTACATGCTGTGATTTTCATGATTTTGTCTGTTCATATAAATTGGTGATACAAATGTTGTAAACATGCCAAACCCTTCCCTTCATAACAAAAGAAGCCAGACAATGTCCCATTGTGTGGAAGCAAATTTCGTTTGTTTTTTTCAGTGTGGGCATAGTTAGCTCAACTCAGCTCCACCATTTTTATTTTTCTCTTTGTGATGGTAATGCTAATTGCCACGATATGTTGAGGAAAGTTCTATTGATTTGAACTGTCCTCTTTCACATAATGGACATGGTGAGGAGTCACACATAGATCCTGTACAATTGGTTCTGACAATAACACAGTGAGAGGAGAAGCATCATGTGCATGGTTTCTCTAATGGAACTACGCACCTCCCTCCACTCCTCCCTCCAGGACTACAAGAGCAGGGAGTCCTGCAGGGCTTGGGATAAAGAGCAGCACAGCAACACCAATGCCATGATGAAAGCTGGGCATGTGCAACCCAGTGCAACTCTGCCACAGCCAAAAGATAGAACCTACGAAGAGGAGAAGAAGTAGATGTTTGAGAAAGTTCTTCCCCTCCCTTAGAAAGCTAGCCAAGCCAAGTTGTAACAGGCCATAAACTAACAAAAAGAGAAGCAGGTTGCACTATGGGTTTTCCTCTTCTCATCTTTGAATCTGGATGAAACTTGATTAATTCTTAGTTGATATCCGAAACTCTGAATAACTGAGTTGTCTGGCAAGTACTCTCAAAATAATTACAGTACATATTGTTCAGAAGGCCACAAGAGGAAAGCATTGAAGTTGAAAATGATATGCAGAAGAGGTTGTGTGCAACTCATAGTTTTAGAGTGTTTAGAAAGATTAGGGAACCACATAAAATTGGATTAAACTTCAAAGTCCACTAATAACTTTAAAAAAAATACCCCTCCCCATTCCTGACCCAGCTGACAAGTAAGGGATACGAGAAGAAAACAAACCAGGATGGATAGTAGTGGAGGAAAAAGAACAATAAGTGATTCAAATCCAATACCAGAAATGAAAAGAAAAAACCACCTTCTCAGATCTTCAATCTAGAGACCAGAATGCAATCGTTGAGTGATGGTTTCTTGAAAATTTTCTCCACTTGCTCTGTTCCCCACACACCTTGGGTGAAGGGGGGATCAACCAAATACTAATTATGGCCACATCACATGGGAGCAATGAACAAGCAGAGGTTTTTTAAAAAAAATAAAATGTTTAGGTTTGGCATCAAACTCCCAATCAATCCCAAGTAAACCCATAATTCCAAACTAGAATGTGAAAGGCACATATCTGGTTTCTAAGTATTAAAATCAGGAGATAGGGTAATGTACCCTGATGCACATCTTTGGGGGAGGGAGAAAATAAAAGGGCATTAATTCCAGCTGGATTTTCTTGATACTTGCAGAATGAGACCTTTCCTTCAAAACATCCTAAAAGATGGCAGACTTTCTGGGCCACAAGCAAAACTGAACTGTCCTGTGTATGTACATTAGTGTACAAGAAATACATCTGTGTATCTTTTGCCTTTTTCCAAATGTACACCATAGGGAAGTATAAATTAGTGAATTTAAATACATTGCAATACTATTTCTTTTTTTCCAAATAATTGGAGGGCACCCAGCCTTTAAATGGTTTCCCACTGTCCATGATCTGGCAGTACCACCAGCCATTTGGGTTCTTTTCCAATACCTCCATGCAGACACCTTCTTGAAACCCAGCACTTTCTTCATCTCCCTCATAATCTGCAATGGAGATATAGATATCCTTAAGGTTATTATGAATGAATTGGGATTTTTCAATGGGCTTGGGCCTGACAGTAGACACTGGAATTCCATTGCGATCTGTTGATATGTAAGAGGCATTATCTGACCTTTCAGAGCCCAATCGACTGTCATGTTTTACTTTAGACTCATTCATTTGGGATTGAACAGCACTGAAAGATGAATTACGACGTACGGCCCTCAAATGATCTGTGGCAGAAAGAGACTCATTCCTACGCAGGGAACAAGGCAGATTATTATCCTTGGGTGGTGGAGAAACAAACACTGACTGTGGTCTCACTGCTAGCTGTCTAACTCCATTTCGCAATTTGACAGGCCCAGATGTTTTGGAGAAGCCACCAGGTGGCTTATTAGGAATAGGGGGTGTTGTTCTTTTGTTCTGGTTGATAGTATTCAGTGCCTGGACCTTCTTTTCTATTTTCTCCAAGCTATTGGATTTGCTTTCATTTCTTCTGTTTCTTGCCTGCGATATGTTGGATGTGGTATCTTCTCCACTGGAGGTGTTTTCTTGTTGCTGGTTATCAAAAAGCATCAGATAATGAGAAGGAGCCCACCCTTCTATTTCTCCATATTTCAAATACCACCATCCACTTGATTGCTTTTCCAATACTTCCACTTCTATTCCAGCAGGGAAACTGATTTCAGAATCTTGAACTTTTTGATAAGAATCCGTAGTTATATACAGACATTTAGAGGGGTTGCCTTCATTTTCTGTTTTGGCTAGCTGGCCGGCATAAAATAAGGTATGGGAAGGGGATGTAATGAATTCTGTAGAATTTCTTCTGAAAGACACTTCTGAGTTTCCAGAAGTTGTCTGAGGTGGACTTTCAGACTCCTCACTTCTTGAACCTTTAAGTCCGCCTCTGAGTTGCCCAGTTGGTCTCAGATGATGACGTAAAGTACTGATGTTCATCATTTCTTGACTTTGAGAATCTGCTTTGTTCAGAAATGGTTTTGGCCTCACCATTGGTTTTGCTCTGCTAGACATGAGCTCTCCAGTATCCCTCTTTGTGCCTGATTTGGGTATACTACTTAGGCCAGCATCTGAAGCTGATCTTGGCTTTGTCTCCTCGTTATGACTGTAATGGGACTTCCCAAAGTTTGTTTGAATATTTTTGGGCTTCAGAAAGGAAGATTTAGGAGAAAGTGAATGTGGAGAATTTATTTGGATCAAAGATAGTGAGGAACTTCGAGAATCAGAATCTCCACTAGATTCCTTGCTTGACAGTGCATCTTCTATGTAAGGTCTAAAGCCTTCATTTTCATATATTGTTTCCTCTTCATGAGTCACATCATCAGAAGACTCTCCAACTCGAAATTTTGCTCTTTGGAGAGATGATCCAGAGAAAGGTTTTGGAAGGTGGAATGAGTTTCTGTCTGAATTACCATCTTCTCCTTGGCTCAGCTCAGATTCTGAGTCATGACCAAAGGCAGGCACATCATACTCTGGTTCCTCATACTGCTGCTTATGTGGGGAATCTTGGCCATCTCCTGAAGCTGTGGTACTAGCAGCTGTTACTTCTTCAGAATCCTTTACTTTATTAGGAGGAGCAGGGGGAGGAACTTTGGGCCTGGTCAGAGTACTTGTTCGCCTATTTAAATTGGGTTTCTTCCTTTTATCAATATATGATGCTGGAGCCCAGCCTTCTTTTTCTCCAATCTGGACATACCACCAGCCCCCAGAATTCTTGTCAATAACCTAGAGAAGGATTAAATCATAAATTAATTACAGATGCAAAACATTAATACATTTTTTAATCCAAGCTTCTCTTTGATTTTTGCTCAGTATATGACAACTATCCATCATTGGCTCATTTCCTATTTTAGTCTTACCTCTGCTTTTTGTCCTCCATGGAAGCTTATTCCATCAGAAATACAAGACTGGAACTCTGCAATAGTATAATATTCAACTTCCACTGATGGTGGCTCAGGAGGTTTAGGTAGTTGAAATCCCTGTGGCAATAAACAGTGACATAGAGATTAATTAAACATGTCAGAGAACAAAGGAAGAGAACATCTAAAATCAAATTATTAGAAATCTACTTGCAAGCGACAAATGAATATAAATTCATTTGCTAAAACTCCCTAAGCAAGAAAATCAACGTGACATCAGTAGTGGCATAACCAACCAAAACCAGAATTGGACAACTCACTGTGGCCAACTCACCCTGGCTGACACACCCTGGCTGTCTCTCTGCAGACAACTCGCTGTGAGATAATTTGCCATGGGACAATTCAATGTGGGATAACTCAAAGGACACTGCAATTAACTTGTCCCTCTCTTGAACATGGACATGCAGTCAGGGGAGGCGGGGCCTCACCAGTGTCATGAAGAAAAGAAAAGAATTTTTAAAATAATTAAAAAGGCTAAGGTAGTTGCTGCCAGACTCCAAGTCACAGTGACTCTGAGTCTGCTTAGTGCTAACTGTAGGGGGAGGCGAGAGAATCATGTGCTTCCTTTGCATAAGGAATTTTTCGCCTTTTAACCGTTGCTCAGAGTTAACCAAGGGTTAAAAGACAAAAAATTCCTTATACAAAGGAGGCACATGATTCTCTCGCCTCCCCCTACAGTTAGCACTAAGCAGACTCAGAGTCACTGTGACTTGGAGTCTGGCAGCAACTACCTTAGCCTTTTTAATTATTTTAAAAATTCTTTTCTTTTCTTCAAAACACTGTAGAAGCACCGCCTCCCCTGACCCCCTGTCCATGTTCATGAGAGTCACAAGTTAA